TAAACTTGTTGCACATTTTGACAAACATAAAGAAGTTGTAAAAATGTTGCTGTGGTATATTTCACAAAGAGAAATTTCTGAAGCTGAAAATTCAGGTAATTTTTGAAGTTGTTTCTTGCTATAATATTCTTTTATTCATGTTATGTTTAATTCATAATTGTGCATAACATAATATATAATAAAATAATATAAAAAATATAATTAAATATTAAAAAATGGCAAAATAATACACATATACACACAATAAAGTAAAATAAAGTAAAAAAATATATATAAAAAATAAAGTAAAAAAAAAAGTTCTGTTGTAGTTTTTTGTAATTTTTTTTTTTTTTTTTTTTTTTTTTTTTTTTTTTTTTTTTTTTGGGCATATAAAAGAACAAATTTTTTTTTGTTACAGTTTCATTTGTTTTGCTTAAGAGCCAATTTTTTGAAGAATCAGGCAAATTCCTGAAACTGTGGAAGTGACCTCCTCCAAATTGTTTGAATTTTTTATATATTGCTCAGAATATCCATAGAACCTGTTGTTGAAAATACTCCTGAAAATTTTTCATTTACTTGGAATCCAGTTTTAAAATTTTGAGATTTTTTAATTTTTAGAAATTAGGTTTTTGCCATCTTTGGATCCATTTTTAGCAAGAGAGAACTTGCTCAAGGCTCATTTTATTACCTGATTTTTCTCCACATATGAAGTATCTATACAGTAGTGCTTTCTGTTGAAAAAGTTTCATGCAATGTGGTAGTTTGTCTTTTACAGAAATATATTTAGTTGTGAAGGCATAATTACAAACATATTTAGTCGTGAAGGCATAATTACAAACATATTTAGTTGTGAAGGCTTAATTACAAACATATTTAGTTGTGAAGGCATAATTACAAACATATTTAGTTGTGAAATTTGCAGCATATTTAGTTGTGAAGTTATTTTCATTTTAGAAAATACTGTTTATAACTTTATGTTTTTTTGAATGATCCGTAATTTCCTTTGGAAAAGCAAGAGCAGTTTTCATAATTTTTTTTCTATAATTAACTAAAAAACAAGTTCTATTTATGCAGTCCCTATTTATCAATACATATTATAAATAGCTACTCTATTTATGCAAATGTTAAAAATTATTAAAAAAAAATTAGAAATGGTAAAGTATATTGTTTTATGACAGTTAGTTGGCATTAACTGGTTTTCCCATAATTGTATTAACAGAGATTCTTCATTGTGTTCAACTGCCACTAGTTATTTGCTTAATATGTAAGTTTAACTATGTCTCTTCTGATGGTATATTATATTTTATTATTAAAATGTAAGTTCAACAAAGTCTCTTTTCTTATGGTATATTATATTTTATTATTATTTCAATTTCTATGATTTCTATATCATGCTCAGAAATGTTTAAATTTTTTCCTAAAATTACGTGCAATAATTTCTGCTATGCTAAATGCTGAATTCAGAAGATTCAAAATTTTATTATTTTACCAAGTGAAAAACAATCCGAATCCCCCTGTCTGTGCATCCCAGAAAATATCTCTTTATAAAAAAATGTACTTTAAATGGGAATTATTTTAAAAAGAACTATTCACTTTTAGTAACAAAATTTTGTCTTTAAAGCATTCTAACTTATTTGAGAATGGATTTTATAATGATTGTTCATCATAATAAGAATTTTATAATGGTTGTTCATAAAGTTTGAGCATTTTCTTCAATTGTAACTTTTTGTACCTTCAATTGTTATTTAATATTTATAAATCACATGAATTTTTTTTTTTAATTTTATTAGGACCATCTTGTATATACATTTTACCATGATTATATTTTTACAAAACTTAGCGACTCTCCCTAATGTCATTTTGTAAGAATACTATAACATTTTTTTTTGAATTTCAGGCCATCATACATGGATAGGCCAAATTTCAAATTTTATGCAATAATCTCTTAATTTACAAAAATTATGACCATATAAAATTTTAAACCCCTCAATTTGAGGGGGCTGTAAACTTTGTAGGGTCATAAAAACTAAATACTAAGAGGTTATTGCATAAAATTTGAAATTTGTTGATGAATATAAACTTAGATAAAAATACTAAAGAAATTATTTTATAAACTTGTTGGGACACTCCTGAGACATTCTATTTCTTAAATATGATTTGATAATCTTTAATTTGTTGAAAGATCTTTCAGCACTTGCAACTGTCACAGGTATTGTCATCAATAGCAATATGGCTGTGTTTACATCCAAAAAATCGCACTCCATAAAACTGTATTTGATGAGCAGTATGTCAGCTAAATCTTTTAATGTAGTTGCTTCTGTAATGTCATTTTTAATAAAAATCATTGCATTAATTAAATGGGTTGAAAAATGTTTTGTCAAATCGTCTGAGTAACTATGTTGCAATAATTTAGCTGATTTAATTAAATCATCTTCAGATAATTTTAATAAATTTTGAGGGTGCAAAAAATGAAAAAGATTTGAAAGTTTTTCCATTCCAGTAAATCTATCACTTATTTGCACGTTACTTCTGACTCCCCGCTAAAATTTGATAAAAAATCCCATCTTTTAATACTGTTGCCAAAAAAGGAGTAAATTTCTTGTAAAATTATAAAAAACTTGTTTACTTCTCTACAACCAGAAACAGCGTAATTTATAACCAGGTTTAAATTGTAACTCGCACAATGAACATACTGTGCAGATGGCTGAATATTATTTTTTTCTGAACTCCGTTATAAATGCCACTCATCATATTAGCTCCGTCATATCCTTGACTATGGCACTTTTTTAAATCTATTTCTTTATTTTTAAGCAATAATAATAATTGATTGGTTAAACCTAATGCCGAATGATCCTTTATTTTATAAAAACCCAAAAATGTTTCTTTAATCTCTACTTGACAAGGTTTAGTATCCTGTTTGCGAATTATGTGAACGTATCAAAAAGTTAAACTTAATTGTTCTTTTCTAGATACGTCTTGAGTTGTGTCAACTATAATAGAAAAAAAAGCAGATACATTTATTTCTAATAATAATTTTTTTTCTAAATTTTGGCTTAAACATTGAATCAATTTATTTTGGATAGCTGGACTAAGATATTTTAAAGTGCCTTTAGGCTTATTGAGTACTCGTTTCATTGTATCGTTGTACTTTGACAGCAAATAAACATGAGACAAAAAATTGCTGTTGTAAATTTCATTGTCCAACTCTTCACTATGACCTCTAAATGCAAGTGAGTTTTTTGTTAACATTAAAGTGATGTTAAATAACCTTTCTAATACCATCTTCCAAAATGAAGCTTTATGACGAATTAATGTCTTTTTATCCTCATTACAATCATTGGAAACAAAACAGTGTCCTGTTTTGTTTCCAATGATTGTATACTTGACATGCTTGGATATGTTTTAGGCTATTAGCATGACTTTTTATTTTTTTACTTAGCCCTTTCCAGTCATGAACTCCCGAATGCCATTGGTTCTTTTTTTCATTTGAAAATAACCAATATGGTTTACAATATGCTGAGTTCAGAATTTCAGAATAACAAAGCCAAAATTGCTGTGTTTGACCAAATTTATATGCACAATAATAATAATTTGTGAAAAAATGTCTACAATTTTGTGAAGGATCTTTTTTAAATGGTCCTTGTGATTTACATCTTTCAGAGGAAATAATAAATCTTTTTGTGCTATCATCAAGAAATTTTCTTTTAAAATATCCCATATATGTTGTTAACATATTTAATTCCTGAAATATATTCAGTCCTGGATCTGTTTCTTCAACTTGCATTGCAGTGGTAAGATTGTTTGGATTTGCGAAAATATCTGCATTACTTTCATAATGAGATTCATTATGATCTTTTGAAATTTTAATTTGTTTTAAGTCAATTGAAACAGATAACATTTCTTCTTGTTGGGTTGCTTGAGAAGTACTGGTAACGACATTGACATTTTTATCTGCAACTACTTTACTAGGTTTCTGTTTTACTGATGAAAAAAATAAGGATATCTTTTTATTATTTTTACTTAATCATTAGCCTCCTTTTTTAATTTCCTTTTTCTGGCTCCACTTATATAAGTTCTTTTAGAGTCCATGCTATTGTAAGAAAAATATTTTATTAGAACAATTATATCTGTGTATTAACCCTATATATATATATATATATATATATATATATATATATATATATATATATATATATATATATATATATATATATATATATATATATATATATATATATATATATATATATATATATATATATATATATATATATATATATATATATATATATATATATATAGCTAAATATTTTTGAATAAATATTAGACTTTTCTTTTTTTCGTATTTATTCTTCAGTTTGTATTTTTAGTCCACCTTTTTAATTTTATATCAAATATGTACACATAATTTGTGTTTCTTTGTTAACTCGTACTATCCTCATACTAAACAAAAGTTTTGTATGCACTAGGCTTTGTTAAAAAACCTAGTGGGTACCAAACACAGAAACATCGTTATACCTGTATCGCGTTTATATACATTTTTTAATTGAAAAATTCAAGATCTCAGTAGTTAATTTATATAAAAATTTAAATCACCAGAATAAAATTGCAAGATTTAAAAAGCAGTTAAGAAGTGTTGCCAATACTATAAATATAACTAGTTTATTACATATTAGCTAAACATTTTGATAACTCAACTTATTGTTATGAAAATTATAATTATATGGTTTTTACTGCTATGCATAAATGCATATAAAAAGAAAAACACTTACCTTCTAAATATTTATTAATATATACTTAATATTCCACTTCAAAATCACCTAATTTTTTTTTTAATGTTTTTAACAGTTTACAAATTTTTAGACGTCAACTAAAAGTTTTTTTAACGTTTAGAAATTCTAAATATTCTAAATTAGAATGTAACTTTTTTAGAAAAATGCTCATAGGGATACGTGAATAATTATAAATTCATAAAATGTATTTGATAAAACAGAAATTAGTAACACTCGTATTATTATTACCAGTCATATTATTCATATGTGTAAAATTTGTTAATCTCCGCGGCGCCCTCTAAGCTCTGGAGCCCCCCTGCCTTGCACGGTTATGCTCCCTCCTA